ACATCAAGTTCTAAAGGCCAAAAAGCTGTAATGGACCTTAAACTCCAAAAAGAACCCAGTAGGCTGGACTTAAGCATGCTGGAGGATGTTTACATTTTTAAATCAGGGTTATCATAAGTTAGTCCCTGCATTTTATCATAACCTGTCACATGTGGCCACTGGTCAGATCAGGGACAAGTGTTTCCACAAGCAAATAAAAAACCGTATTTTTTTTTTTTCATCTTTCTAAACAGCTCTGAGTTCAGATCCTGTCCAGGTTACCCACCTGTGATTCAAGAAGATACCATCCTAAAATATGACAGGAAAGTAAATTGGGAGAAAGTCAACCTTTGAATTCTGTGCTTCGAGTTTTCAGGAGACACTGATTAGGCTACAAACACCCTTGTTTGCTCTATTATCTTAGGCCTTACCAGGACTTTCTTGGCCACCAGCAGACAGCAAAGTTCTGAGGGACAGGGGCCCACATTTAGTACCAAGGTGGTAGGTTGGGATGATGACAAGTAGACGTCAAAAGAAGCTGAAAGGGGATTCAGGGCAATATTACCTCTTTGGAATTTCAATAGAATAAAGAGAAAAATTTGTCTCTTCAGAGGGCTGAGATTTTAAAACCACCCCGTCAACGACTCCTGAAGAACCAAGAGAAGTTTGGATAAAACTCCTAGTGATTAGTCCCCCAACTGCTCATACCAGGTAAGAAATAATAGCTCTTCAGAGCTCTCTTTCCATATCAAAAGAACTTGAATTGTTCTTTGAGGCAATCTGTGGCCACTGTCCCAGTGGAAATCTTCTTTTCAAATTATGTAGCGTGCTACTATATCAGGCTATGAAATGCTGTATGTGCTAAAATAAGTCAGAGATGGCTAGTCAGATTAGGAAAAAAATATTGTAGGCAGGCAACCAGAGACAAATTTGTCGAGAAAGGATGTCAGGGGGATTTCCAAAGTCTCCTACCTGAGGGACGATGGTAGTGATTATGAATAATTCAGAGTGAGTTAACGAAGAGGATCCACCAATTTCAAAAACTATATAATATTTTTGAAGAAAAAGAGAGTTTAAGGACTATGAAAACATATGTCAAGAAGGTCCCCCTTAAATATCAATTCTGCCAAATGAAGGAAAAACTGTTTCAAAGAAAAACTCTCCTCCTGGCAAGATCTTACCACAGATGTTTTTCAGATCTTTAAAGACGGATTATTAATGGTTTAGCTCTCCACTACATTATAAAGCATTTTTCAAAGGTTTATGCTATCTCTGTTTACAGTATCTGATAATAATAAAGCAGAGTTCATTTTTAGCCAATGAAAATGACTCTTCAAAAGGTTGCACATTTGTTTGAACCCAGACAAGCCACAGAAAGTACAAACTCTTCTGCATGTTCAAAGTTCTCGAAACACACACACGTAATACCAACAACAAAGACGGGAACCACGGACCAGTTTTCCAGTACCAGTCTCAATTTTTTGAGTAACTGCTTCACCAGTTAGAGACCTTGCTCTGATCCATCTCTGCATCAGAGAGAAAAGGAAGAAAAGAAAAATGTACAATCCTATTTTCATGACCGGGACACGCCCTTTCCTTTCTCCGTGTGAAATATCAAGAGTTTCTGATTGCCTGCAGAAAATTTACATTCCAGCCCTACAACCTCATGTGACTTTTTATAGAACAAGGAAGTACTGGGGCTTATCTGCAACAGTGACAATGTACTGTGGTCACTCAGTGTTGGCCACAACAGCTTCAGTTACTAAGAACTCTGACCACCAGGGGAAATGTGCAAGGAGGCTACCAGATATCAGCTATGGAAGAAGAAAACAAGTTTCCCACGGAGCACAGAAAGAAAGCAATTGTTACAGCAGGACAGGGCCTAGAGCTGCAAGAAAAGAAACTACAATTACAAAACCAGATGCAAAGCAGCAGAAGGGCCTGGATTTCTCTTTCAGCTGGTGAATCTACATATGGCTATAACCTTGCTGACATCTCTGGTCATCAGACCATAGGAGAAGGAGTACCCCAGCTGATGAAGAAATATTATAGTATTTGGAATACCTTACTTGTCCACAAGATTTTGATGTATTTAAATATATATATATATACACACATATATCTCCTGTGTGCTTATCACTTGTGATCTTCTCGTGTGTTACAAGTGATGAGATTTTCTCCAAAAAATTCTATAAATCAGGCCCTGAACTGACATTATCTTGGCTTGTGTTTCTTTAGCTATTTCTCCGCAGTGAGAGACAAGGCTGATTCCTCTTTTCAATGAATGAAAAAGAAATTAGACAAGATGTGGTAGCTCAACTCTGTAATCCCAGCACTTTGGGAGGCTGAGGAGGGCAGATTGCTTGAGCTCAGGAATTCAAAACCAGTCTGGGCAATAGGGTGAAACCCCACTCTACAAAAAATAGAAAAATTAACTCAGCATGGTGGCATGTGCTTATAGTCCCAACTACTTGGGAAGCTGAGATGGGAGGATCACTTGAGCCCAAGAGGCTGAGGCTGCAGTGAGCCATGATCACACCACTATACCCTGGCCTGGGTGACAAAAAAAAAAAAAAGTATACCTTCCAAATTATATTATGTAAGATGTCCTTAAGTATAATGTACAGAAATATAGTTTAGAACTTCCCTCCCAGAGAGCTGGGGTTCAGAGTGGGCCTGCAGACCTCCTAGCTCCTCTTTATGTATTTTAGGAGGTGAGGTGGACTGTGTGGGGGAAGAATCACTCTGAAAATGGCACCCAGTGTCCTTTGGCCATTCCCTCATAACTCTGCCCAGCCTGAGCTGGTCTTTGTCTAGACACCTGACAATTCCAGGGCTCAGAAATGAGAATGTGGAAGACAGTTTAAGAAAGATAATATGTTAGGAGAACAAGGGAGGCTGTCCCACATGGCTGAAATAGTGAAGTTAAAAATCAAACTAGAAGCCGCCTATGGTATATTAAAGATGGCCAGAAATTCTTTAACAGTCTTCCTTTTGAGAAGTGAGATCTATTTACCCTCTTTTTGAATCTGAGCTTGCTGGTAACTGCTTTGATGCATACAGTGTGGTCAAAATGACACTCTGCCCTCTGGTCCTTCATTCTAAGAGAACTGGCAATCTCCATGTTGGTTTCTGGGAGCTCTGAGTCACCACAGCTCTGACTTCCCTGCTGCAGAGGTCATACAGAGAGGCCCTGAGACTATATAGAGAAGGGGCCAGCTGAACCCCGTTTCCCACCATCCCCACAAAGGCAACAGGCACAGAACCCTCCAGAGTAGCCTGGGTGCCAACTGAATACCTCTCTATTGATGCCAGAGAGATTGCATGGAGCAGAAGAATCCCCAGCTAAGCCCTGACTGAATTCCTAACCCACGAAAGAATGTCCCACAATTAATTAATTAATTAAAATGCTTGTTATTTTAAATCACTGGGTTTTGGGGTAATTTGCATGCAGTCATAGATAATCAGCACACAGCCTCTAAGAAGGGTATATAATTTTAAGAATAAAATCTCTAATTGTGGAAAACTTGATAAATTCCAAATTTTAGTGATACGTTAAAAAGAAGATTACATTCTAAGTGTGTGTGTTCCGTAATATGTATACAGGGAAGAGAAAAGCTAAGGAGAAAAGACATGAATCTCTTGCCTGCTGGCAAAACTTCCCCAAACAGATATTCTTCTAAAAGCTGTATATAAGCTGGATCATTGTAAATCTTTCCAACAACTATCTACTGAGTAACTGCTACAAGTCAGTCACTGAGTTAACTACTAAGGTTTTAATAATGACAAAAATATCATTTCTGCCCCGGAAATTTTGCTCTCTTGTGGGTCACTAGCAAATTAATATGTAAATTTACAAATTCGTTAAATCAGAGGTTGACAAACTTTTTCTGAAAAGAGCCAGATAGTGAATGTTTCAGCTTTGCAGTCCAACTCTGCCAGTGTGATGCAAAAACAGCATTTTAGACAATATATAAACAAATGAGAGCAATGGAATCCCAAAAGAACTTTATTTATGGATACCAAAATTGTGTGTCTTGAAATATTATTCTTCTTTTAATTGTTTTCAACAATTTGAAAATGTAAAATTGGTCTTTAACACACAGGCTGTACAACAGGCAGTGTGCTGGATTTGATCCTCAGGCATAGTTTGCCAACCTCTTTTTAAAATTTTTATCAGATGGGCCTAAATCAGATAGAACTTGCAAAAAGTTAAAGGGCATTACCAGACCAATTTAATGCTCTGGATGGTCATGGATACAAATAATAATCTGCCTCCTATTTCTGGTATTCTCCACGCATAAGGAAAGGCATGAACTTATAGCCTACAAGAGTAGCTTAGAGTTTTACTAGGGAGTAGCTCTGGGAAGCATCAAGACCCCAGAAGAGGGGAGGAATCAGCCCAAGGAAGAAAGGAGAGAAGGAACCATAGAGGCGAGTGGGAGGGCACGTCTGCAAAGGCAGCCGGATGTTGTGCAAGCATTCAGCAAGAAGCACTCAAAGGGCAAAATTGGGGCTTCGTGGGGAAAGAACAGTGTGACAATATTTTTTTAAAATTTCCACTCTTTGTAAACTCCCAGTGCCTTTGGGTAAAGCTATTTATAAGCATATTTAAGACACCTAGAGCCAAGTAAATTGGAAGCACAGAAGTGAATAAAGAAGAAAACTTAGGACGTCCTTGTTATGGAAAGGCTAGTTCATCACATCACCACCTACCCTTCCTTTAAATTTTACCATTCCACTTTATGCTGAAATAAGCTCATTTTGGGAAAAGACTTGCTAAAGAGTTGATGTTTTGCATATTAGTGTTTTGTATTTGCTTTGTTTTTATATAAAGAGCCTTCAAAAACTATCGTAAAAATTAAAAATTTATGGAATAGATCTCCACAACAAGAGTGGACACACACGCATTCTGCCCCACACATCCGCCAAGTACAATTATACTATTGCTTAAATGAGCTAACTCTTTTAGAAGAAAAAGAAAGTCTGAGACACCCATATTTCTACCCTTTGTACTCTGAGATGATGCGTATATTCCCCCTGCATCCTTCTCATGCTTTCAGCGTCATGAGGTATAAAAGTGTGCTCCCTGTCCCAAGGGTAGCAGCTGTGACCTACATTTTCTTCACGTTCTGATGCTGTTTGTGGCTTCCTCTTCCCTTCAGGGGGCCCACGATGTCTTTGTTCAAAGCACTCTTTCCAATAGCTGATGACATAGTGTCAGGCAAGTCTACAGCTGTTTCAATCATCTGTCCACACAGACACCAAACAACAGAAATAAGGTAAGCATGTATCTACGATAGGTCTAGTCTGCTCTGGGGAAAAACAGAAAGTCCTTTCATGATATACGGGCAGCATTCTGCGTGATTTATTTGACATCAACTCTAAGACCAATGGCTTGTGGGTTTCTTTTCACTCAGGTCACATGATTCTTCTTTAGGATCTCAATCAACTATTTCCACTTTGCTTAACTTAAAAAAATCAAAAGCCTCCAGCAGTCAACAGTACAATTGTTCAATTTTGTACACCTCCCCCGCTTTCTAATCATGCCTTTATAAATTACTGCTTTAGTGCTCATCAGAAGAGCATAAGTTTAAAATTTTGAATGTGCATGTTAAGTTTGGCTGTTACTTTTAGTGTTGTTTTCTACATGAATGAGCCAGCTTTGACACTACAGACACAGCCTGTTTAGGCAAGAGCAGTGCTTATGTAATCCTAGCTTCCCAAACCACATCAACAGCACAAATTTGACAGCCAGAAGGAAGGAAGCGGGGGTGGGGAAGGCAAAAGGAAAGAAAGAGAGACTCAGCTTCAACCAAAAACATATTTGGCTCATATTTCCACCTCTGTTAACTGAGATTCCAACTCTACAGGAGCTCCTCTCCACTCATCCCTCCATGCCTGATCTGGGGAGCAGCTTGGTTTTTCTCCTGCTAAAGGAAAAACCCTTAGTACCTTCCTTCTCTGCAAACATTAGAAACAACTCAATCAAGTTGATGTATAGAGGATGAAAAGTCCTTAGCCAACAAGGATACTTCAGCCTTTCCAGGTATGACATAGCCTCTTCCCTTCCTATCTGCTAGCCAGCCAACAGGTCTTTCACCACTAGTGCTCTGCCAGCATGTGTGGCTGCCAAAGGCACCTCACTGGCCAAGAGGAAGGAAGCTTTCCTTCCAAAGCAAACATCCAGTCTTCAATGAATAAGCCCTGCATGCTGAAACAGCCCCCTCTCTCACAATCACCTTACTCTTTAGAAAGCTGTGGTAGGCAAGTAAAGACACCCTCCAAAATATTCATATTCATATTCCACTCCCTGGAACCTGTGAATATGTTGAGTTACATAGAAAATGAGAACCAAGATGGAATTGAGTTTCTAATAAGCTGACCTTAAAATAGAGAGATCATCCTCCATTATCTGAGTGGGCCCAATATAATCACAAGGGTTCTTAAAAGTGGAAGGGGGAGACAGAAGAGATGATCAAAGGGACACTATGTGAACAGAACTCAACCAGCCATTGCTGGCTCTGAAGATGGAGAAAGGGGGCTATGAGTAAAGGAATGTGGGCAGCCTCTAAAAGTTGGAAAAAGCAAGGAAGAGGATTCTCCTCTAGAGCTTCCAGAAAGATATGCAACCCTGCTGACACTTTGAGTTTAGCCCAGTGAGACCTGCATCAGACTTCTTACCTACAGAACTGTAAGACTATAAATCTGTGTTGCTTTAGCTATTAAGTTTGTGGTAACTGTTACAGCAGCAATTAAAAACTAATACAAAAACCATTGGTTCAAGGCAAGTCCATACTGCTTGGGTAGCCACCCTCTATTTATCAAAGACTTTCGGTTGAGGCCCAGGTGCACAGTTCATTCTATCTAGGTATGTGGTTCTAAGTCTCCTCTTTGAACCCTCCTGAAGATTGACACCAGACCACATCTGCACTGCGATTGCTTTCATTTTTCTCTCATGTTGGTCTTCTCTAGAAATTTAAAGAATTCCAGATCAAAAAGAGCTGTGTGCAGTGTTGCACACCTGCAGCTCCAGCTACTTGGGATGCTGAGGTGGCAGGATTGCTTGGGCCTAAGAATTTGAGTCCAGCCTAGGCAACATAGCAAGATCTGATCTCTTAAAAAATCATTATTAAAAAAAAAAATGAAAAAAAGCTCTAGGTGGCATGAAATTCATGGCTTTGCCTCCATAGGAACTTGCCTTAATGGCAAAACCACTTTGTTTTGCAAAAGCATAAATGAGTTTTCCAGAAAACCAGCCCTCTACTAGTGGTATAGTACAGGACGAAGGTCTAGACCCCAGGGCCTTCTGCTCTGAGCAGATCAGACTGCTTGGGTCCAGACAATCCTGGGTATCCCTCACAAGCTGCAGGAGGGGACAAGTTACTTAACATCTTACTTCTCTATTTCCCCATTTGTAAAATGGGCAAAGTAATAATATCTACCTCATAGAGTAGTTGTAAGGTAAAATAAGTTAGTACATATAAGGAGCTTAGAGCAGTACCTGGCACAGAGCAAGTCCCATTGATCACTGCCATACTTTGCCGTGTCTTCGGTTCTCACATCATCATGGTTTCGTATATCCTGATAGCATCTGTTCTTGCCAAAGGTCTGACTTTCCAACACATGCTTTCCAAAAGGAAACAAAATGATGTACTTGTTCCCAGTGGCCATCCAAATGTAAAATCCATGCTTGGAAAACTTTGCGATGCTTCTTTTATACTACTAAGTGCCCCTTAATTAAAACTAAAATAAGTTTCTCCAATGGTTTTAAAGCATAGGTCACTTAAAATTAACTCCCGTAAGCTATTTTACAAACTTCCTGTTAAGAAGTAATTTCTCAAAATAGAAAAGGCATAATATTAGCTTCAAAAGTACCTGGAGTATTCATTAAAATGTAAATTATTGGGCATTACTTAAGATTTAGTGGAGGCCCACGAATCTGAATATTAATAAATATATTACATATAGCATGTGATTCTTATGCATACAAAGGTTAGGAATCATTGCCTTAACATATCTTTAGTTTAAAGCCTACCCTTCTTTTATTATGCTAGATAATTTCGCAGGTAAAACAACTACAAAAAAAAAGGCCAGGTTTAGCTGATTTGTACATCACTCTCTTGTATGGTGTTTAAAGAAAATCGGCCATTTACTTTCTCAAGAAAGAGAAATAAGAAGGCATGGCATACTAAAAAAAAATGATTCATTAACAGAGAAATGCATTTATTATCTCCTCATAGCACAGACACAACTGTGTGTGTGTATACACATATTATATACACATATGAATATAGAATAAATGAGTTTTATAAAGCAGTCTTTGTAACACATTTATTTGTGGTTTTCACAATGGAACTTCCATTATCAAAATCTAGATTCTAATATTGGAGTGTTTGAAAAGTACCCACATGTGATAATAATATTGAAAATGCTACTTGTAACTAAATGCAGTTCTTATTAACTTTCCTTTCACTTGTGATATCATTGACACACAATTATCAGCTCATAAAACAAAAAGAGCATTGCCTCAGCATGTATATTGTGAAATAAAGGGATTACGTGTCCAAAGTGTGCTAGGAATAGAAGAACTGACATCATCCACATCATGGTGATGAGTTTTCCCTACAGATCTCCAAAAAAGGAAAAGCAAAACTATGTTTCGGGAGGCAACGCCAAATCTTTTTTAGTAATTTTTTCATTTTATTGGTTGTTTTATTTTCACAGTGATAAATTAGTGCTCAACTCCAAATATTTAATGAAAATACTTTATGGCACATATGTGTGCATGCATCTATTTTCCCCCAAAGTGTGAATTATAGTATATCTACATCAGAATCTTCTTTTCTATTTCTTTTAAGCAAGTATCTCCAACCTTACCCCAAGACTCTGATGTTAGGGCCTAGAAACCTGCATTTTTAGCAAGTTTTTCAGGTGATCCTTGATCACATTTAATTTTGAGAATCACTTCTTTGAGAATATGTAATGAAATTTAAACTAAATGGTGTATTTTTTTCTTATTTTTGAAATATTTTTAAATTACCTTAATGGTTTACCTAAACTCAATAAAAATTTCTCTTTATTTAATCTAATAAATGGAAATCTAGAAAATTCATTCACAAAAAACCAAGACTAAACTGTAATAAGAATAAATTAATATTTGCCAAATAAGTAATCTAATTAATTAACACAGGAGGAAATAAATTCAGATAATGAGCTATGAATTCTTTGACTTGATAAGTATCAGAAAAAAATAAATCATTAAGGCTACATCATCTCTATTAAACTTGTACTCATAGGCTTAAGCAACACAGAATTATCTTAAAACCCATATATCCTATTGTCTAGATTGGTGGGGGGGGAAGCATATTATTTATTCACCAAAAACAGAAATAGAATATAAAGTAAATCAATAAAATTTTCAATTACTTGTTGTTGCTGTTGTGTTATCTTTGTTTTGACTTTACAGATTTTTTCTGACACAAGTAGTATCACTCAAGAATTAGTTTTCATCTGCATGAGTTCTTCTTCATGGAGGGCATGGTCTGTGTATGCTCACAGGTTTGGTTTTGGCCCATAACTCAAGAGTCTAGTTTACTGGCAATGCAGGTAGGAATCATCTGACTTGCTACTCCTCCCACAACATGTGTTTGTCCAAGTCTGTTTGAGAAATGACGCTTCCTTCCCCTCAATGCCAACAGCAGTGCTGCAAGCCTCTCAGCCTCTATCCAACACCAAACAGGTGAGCAGGACTATAGCACTTCTCATTCCTATTAAGATGCCTGAGTCTGTGAATCAACTCTTTTACATTATCAGTTTCCCATTCAAAACTATAAAGAAATATTTTTAAATGGTAGGAAATTTATAACATGGAAAAATTTTTTTAAACATTTTGACATTACTTCATGTGCTTTTTACAATTACAAATCCATTTTTAGTTATTATTCTTCTTTTTCACCTAACAATATATGTAGCTATTTTCTACAGCTACATTTTTTTTAATAACAGTATAATGTTCCTTCAAATATGCAAACTGTAGTTCATCTAAACTACCCCTATTGTTAAGCATTTATGTTGCTTCCAATTTATTACTATTATAAATTATGTTTTGATAATTAATAATTATGTTTTGATGAGTATTTGTGGTGTTTTCTATATTTGGGGTTATTGCCTTAGCACAGATTCCTAGTTCCAGGATTAATAAGGCAAAAGCATAACATTTTTATTGATTTTTGGAAAAGATTATGCCAGTTTACAGAACTCCAACAAAGGTAATAAAATTCACTTTTTTTCATCTTCCTTATCAAAATTGGATATACTTTCTTGTTTTTGCTAATTAAGTGAAGTCCCTTTGCTGTTAACCATAATCTTCATTACTTTGTTATTTTGTTCACACAGCAAGTTTATTGTAATGCTTCTTGAAAGCTGGAACCAGGGAAGTGGAACCAAGCAGAAACTGCTTGGTAGTTTGGAAGGACTGATGCACAAAACAATTGCAACCAGCCAGGTAAGAACGCCTGAGACAAGCACATAATGCAGAAAATGGAAAAAGCCAACTGAGTGAAAACAGAACAGGTTCAGGGCAGGGAATTGCTCCACAGAGGAGGCCACAGGGCTGGGACTGGAGAATAAGAATGAGAACTCACATTTATTAAGCATCTACTGTGTGCCAGCAACTATGCTAGATAATTCACATTATATTATTTACTCCTTGCAATAGTCCTCTAAGCTAGTATACTGGGTTAAGCAGTATCCTCTTAACATTACACGTCTATCCAGAACCTCAGAATGTGACCTTATTTGGAAATAGTGTCTTTGTGGTTGTAATTAGTTAAGATGTGGCCACATTAGATTAGAGTGGATCATAAATCCAATGACTAATGTCCCTATAAAAGGCCATGTGAAGACACACACAAGGAAGATCATGTGATAACAGAGTTAGAGAGTGGAGTGGTGCAGCTATAAACCTAGGAACCTCAAGAACTGCTGGCAACTACCAGAAACCAGAAAAAGGCAAGGAAGGATCCTTCCCTAGAGCCTTCAAAGGGAGCATGGTCCTGCTGACTGTTTGATTTTAGACTTCTAACCTCTAGAACTATGAAAGAATAAATTTCTGTCATTTTAAGCCACCCAGTTGGTGATAATGTGTGATGACATCCTTACGAAACTAATACAACTAAGTAGCCACCATCTTCAAATGGAAATATAGTTCAGAGAGATTCAGTAACCTCTAAGGATCTGTAAGTGGCAGAACCAGGATTCAAACTAAAGCAGCCTGACTCCAACTGTGTTCTGTCTTTCATATTTTGCTATTTCATCAAAGCCTTTGTAGCCATAAAGCATTTGTTGCCCGATGTGCACAGCAAGTCAATACACTGAGACACCAGGTTGCAGCAGAGAAAGAGGTTTAATCACAAGGCCACCAAATAAGGACAGAGGAGGAAACTTCAAATCTTACTCCGCAGGGAGTTTAGGGCCAAGGATTTTAAAGGTTTGAAGTGAACCAAAGGGCGGTGATCATTAATTGATCAGAATGCAGGGTAAAGTCAAGAGACAGACAGATGAAGAAGCTGCATTCTCCTGCTGATGGAGATCAGCAGGATCAGTTCCTCTGTGGGGGGTCTTCACTGGTTGGCAGGCACTTACTTACTGTGCTGCTGGAATCTGTGACCAGAAAAACATCTTAATTTTTAAACAAATCCCTTATAATTCTAACCTCAAAAATCCTTCCTATAGGAAGAAGGGAGATAAAATGGTGAATATGCGACTTTTAGTTACAAGGAAGTGGACCAAAGTGCAGTCTGATTAATCTTTATTTATTACTATATTTCTGTCTGGAATTCTTGTTAACTCTGAAGATGGTTTCAGCTTTAGTTCTAAGTCTGATTTTGCCACCAGTTATCTGTGTGACCTTGAGAAGTTCATGCACTCTTTGGCCTTAGTTCCCTGTGTGTAAAACAAAATTACTTGATTGGGTGATTTCTGAGGTCCATCTTCCTCTACAACATTCTACAGGCAATCTTGGGAGCACTCCTAAGGAGGGAGGTTCAAGAACCCTGGAGAATCTTTCTGGTAGCTCCATTCAAGGTATTTTCAATGCCTTACCTCCACCTACATAATTCAGGTCCACAACAGGTCTGTGGAAAAAGACGTAGAAGAAAGAAAGGTTTGAGATCCTTAACATCATGGTGTCTAAATCTGCTGTTACTGAGGCCAAGTAATATCTTATTAAATAAATAAGATAAAAGTCACCATGCTCAGAGTGGAAAACCCTGAAACCAACTTTTTTCTCTATACCTGACTGTGGTAACTGGTTTTACCAATATAATGCCATTCCTATACCGAGATTCACAGTATGTCTTCGTGCTCTGGTGATTATAAACACCTCATACTAGACTTACTATGACTTTCTAAATTGTAAGTAAGGGCCAGAATGAATAATTTCACTTCATCTGAATAAATCATGAATCTCTGTATTTTCAATGAGAAATAAAATAATGGCAATAATAGCTTCCAATTACAGAGTGTTTGTCATGTACCAGGCAATAAATAAGCATTACACATACTAATCTCATTCAACCTTCAGAACTCTGGGCACTATAGTTGTTGTTATCATTCTCGTTTTTTTTCTGGAAGCTATTTGAGGACCAAGAAGTTCAAAGTTACTTATTCATTCAACATACATATATTAAATATTTCTATGTACCAGGTACTGCGCAGATAAAAAGAACAAGAAAGCCATGGTCACTAAATAATAATAATTTTGATTAAATAGTATCTGCAAAGCGAAAAATCTGGAAAGATGTGTCACAAAATGTTATGAGCTGTGGATGACTTTTATCTTCTCTCTTGTTCTTCCATTTTTTACATGAATATTGATTACCTTTGTAATCATAAAAGAAAATTATTTTTTACACGGCAACATCTTCACCTTCAAGGGACTTGCAATATAATGAAGAAGCCGACTTATCAAGAACTGTAACTTACTTGGTCTCATAGAGCTCATCAGTGATGAGGTCAGATTCAAACCTAAAGCTGTCAGCATTCCAAATTCCATTTTATCTGCCCCACCCCATACTGTCAATGGCAATATATTCATTTCCCTGAAGGTCTGCTTACATTTATTTACCTTTATTGAAATTAAGTTATAGACTTCAGAGGAAAGTGTCAACAATGCAGTCTGAAAGATTTGCCATTTATGGGCTCACCCAAGGCTGCTGATGGCCCTCTCTCCTTCCCTTCTCCACCCACAGATCTTCATATCAAAGAAAATGTGGAGGTGGTGAGCAATTTATCTGACATCCTGGCCTCATAAAAAAAGTGCTTCAGATGCAATTAAATGCTTCTAAAATATTCATCACACAAATTATATTTTACCTGCCCTGTCACTTACTTGAAATATAATACATATTCCTTAGTGATAACTATACTATCCTAACTAGGCTAAGACTACAGCTGGCAAAAAGAAGGTTCAAAAGGAAATGCCAAACTCTTTCTCCTTCTCTAATTCCTTCACTTGCAAAAGATATACTTATTGAGAGTCTAATCTTTCCAAATCTGTCTTTCTCAAATGCTAACTCATAGGATGTGAGTTTTGATATAGTCCACCTATGTTTGATTTGCTTTCTAGTCCTACTGCAATAGTCTTAAGGGGACTTTTAGATATATTTTGATTTTTCTAACTTTATTAATGTTTTTAGTATCCTGTCTTAGAATTGAGTCAGAGATTATGATGACTATGTCTATATTCCTGACAGTCCTTGTTATAGTACTAAGCACAGAGTGAATAATGGAAAAAACTGAGCAGAAGATTAATTTATTGTTGTAATTAGGCATATGGGATCTTTTGCTAAGTCTCAAAAATGATACAGAATAATTATTTTCCCATATAAGCTATGCAATGATTAACTCTTAATCTTAAAGCTATTCAATGGAAAATTATCCCAAATTCCCTGCTTTACCTTTCTGATATTTTTCCTACCCTCTACCTCCTTCCTAGACTTGATGCAGAGTGGAATTCTTGACTGCTTAGATTGCTGTTTTTAAAAGCAATTAAAGCATAGACAGGAAGTTGAGTCCATTTTGGACTGTATTGTTTCTCTGTCCTCCTTCTGAAATGTCTTTCCACATTCATTTCAGTTTCTGTGTAAAATATTATTTGCCATTGAAAGTTAGTATCAGTTAGGGTCATTTGTTCCTCAAAAATAAGAAACAATGCAGGAGTCTAAGAAGGGCCCATGTGATTTAGAGCATCACAAAGTGGTTGGAGCTTACATCATCACACCACAGCATGACTCCCTCTGTACAATGAGTTCCTCCTTCTGCAGTCACAAAAAAAAAAAAAAAAAAAAAAAAAAAAAAAAGGAAGGAAGGAAGGGGCCGGCGCAGCAGTGGCTCATGCCTGTAATCCCAGCACTTTGTGAGGCCGAGGCGGGCGGATCATGAGGTCAGGAGTTCAAGACCAGCCTGGTCAACAGAGTGAAAATCCTGTCTCTACTAAAAATACAAAAATTAGCCAGCATGGTGGCATGCATCTGTAGTCCCAGCTACTCAGGAAGCTGAGGCAGGAAAATCTCTTGAACCCAGGAGGCAGAGGATGCAGTGAGCTAAGATCATACCACTGCACTCCAGCCTGGGTGACAGAGTAATAATCAGTCAAAAAAAAATGAAAAAAAAAACAAAAAAAACAGAAGGGTGGAAAGAAGGAAGGAGGGAGGGAAGGAGGGAGGAAAGGAGGGAGGGAAAGAGGGAGGGAGGGAGGAAGAGAGAAAGGGAGAGAAGGTAGGAGGGAGGAAGGGAGGGAGAAAATAAAAGGTTATTTAAAAGAAGAGTAGAGGAGCAATCCAAGATGGCCGATTAGGAGCAGCTCAGGATTGCAGCTCCCAGTGAAAGCACCGAGTGTGAGTGAATGCCGCATTTCCAGATGGATTTTTATTGTCCACATACCCAGGAGATTCCCAGGTGGAGGAGCCCCAAAGGTCACCAGCGTGGCTGGTTTGGCTGGCACAGCTGTTTTGGCTGGGTTGGCTGTTTTGGCCAGTGCTGCTGTTTTGCCAGCACCCCGGCACAGCAGTTCTCCATAAAAAATACATGGATCTGGGTGCCGTTTTAGCTGGTGATTGGAGTTCTGGGAAGGCAGATTCGCCCATTCATCTGATTAAAAAGGGGACTGAAACAGGGAGCCAGGCCAGGAGATTCCCGGGCAAAAAAGTGCCACAAATCTCAGCGCTGCTGTTTCAGCGAGCGCAGTGGGTTGCCGCAAGGGAAATGACACAGATCCTGGTGACTTTTCAACAGGCAGCTGGAACACCTGGGAGACAGTCAATGGTTCAAGTAAAAAGGAAAACAAAAGGCTCTGAGGCAAGGAGCCAGGTGATCAGGCTCAGCTGGTCCCACCCCCACAAAAAGAGCAATCTGAAATGCTCTGGATTGAGAGTTTCACAGCAAGCACAATTGAACCCAGGATGGTCCAGTTCTGTGGGGAAGGGTGTCCACCATTACTGAGAC